TCTGAAGGCATACTCCCTACCGTTAAAAATTCCGACATCATAATTACCATCCTTTTCTTTTCCAATTGGCTTTTTTACGTAACCACACATGTGAAAGGCTGAGGTGTTGTTGTTGTTGTTTACGCAGGCAATTTTGAACGATTGGATGATTTCAACGACTCTTTTTGTGACCATACAAACAGACAACTCTTCCAACTTAGCAGCATCTATTGCACCATCTTGATCCTTGAGTTCTAAAATTTCCATTTTTCTTCGCTTTGTAGCCTTCTTGACTTCATCTTCAACATCATCCTTTTGAGACATAACACCAACGGGGTACTTCATACCAACAAGTCGAGAAAATACCGAAGAACCCATTGCTCTCTATCAGTCAATAACAATAAAGAAAATGTAACAATAGTAACAAGACTTATAACGGCTTTGAATAATAATATTATTTCAATAATTTCTCTCATAATAAAAAACAAACTTTTTGAACGCCAAATATGACGACGTTCAGTGGTTGAGACAAGTGGCTGCTGTGTGGGCACAATAATAATAAAGCCACTTTATTTTCGAACAGCCACTTTCTAGCACCATCTTTAATGTGGCTGACACAGTTGTCTTGTATTAAAACCGCCCATTCTTGTGGGCAATTTTTTCTTCTTAATTCCAGTTCTGGTTTAATACATCTTTCAAGCCACATCATGTATATGTCTTCCGTAATAAAGGATTTGCGTTGATATGCAATTTCAACATCGTCTCTGTCTATGTATCTGTCGATTTCATTATTCATTGCCAAGTTTGATAGTATGATCATTGGTTTCAGCGTGGTGTTGTTGGCAAATATTCCTGCAATCAGTGTTATGCGTTTTTGAGAGCGATCAACAGAGTAAGAGTTGGTGTAGTCATAGTTGTCGTCAACATAAAAGTTGCTTCTTTTTTGAGTCCACAAATAAACAATAACCACTTTCGTCCATGTTGATAAAGAGGGAGGGTTTAACTCCATTCAAATGGACAACTCTTTCGCCGGCATATTGTTTGTCATTGTTCAACAAATCGACAGCTCTAGTTTCATAGCTTCTTAACTCATCTTTACTCAGCTCAGCTCTCTCCTTATCCATTGGTTTTGCAATCTTCTTAATTAAACCCTCCCTTCTCAAACTGTTTGCGATGGTTCTTTTTGATACTTTCTTCCCAACAACTCCTTCTACAACATTTCCCATCTCTTTAGTGGTGATTGGTTTGGTGGTGTTTTGTCTTTCTCGAATTGTTTCCAACAACAACGGCATTCTCGATTGATTAATTTCTCGTTTTCTTCCAGACTTCCCTTCGACATCGTCATACAAGTTGTTGAGGCGGGCCGTCGAAGGTGAGACACCTAACACTTTGGCTTTTGTTTCAATTGAAACCTTTTCAAGCCATTTTTCACTTCTCAACAATTTCATTTGTTGTTGGAGTGTTAGACATTCCATGATTTCTGTTGCATGGGTTTCACAGAAATCCAAAAAATCACAGCCACGACCCGATTTTGTACTGTGGCGCAACACGCTCAAATCCATTTTTTGAAGCAGGTTTTCGCTGTGGTTTGGACATGATTATTGAGTTCTGAAACCAGCTGCATTTATTGTTTTTATTATAATTAATGGTTAATTTTATTAATAATTATAATTTGAAGTGTTTCGAAAAGTTGTCTTTATTATTCCCCAACAATTTGACATCTAATCGCAATATATTTTTATACAATTTGGGTGATTTCCCATTTCTTTATGTAACAATTGACTCTTTATTTTCTATTTTTCATGTTATCAAGAAAATAAATTTAAAAAATGATTGTGTGACCATAACTTTGATACTCATGATTGTGTATAGTTTGCTGCCAATACAAATGTCGTTTGTAATAAAGAGGAGTACTCAAATTTAACAAAAATACATTTTTTCAATATCATTTCTTATTTTACTCAAAAAATGAAAGGGGGTGAAAAAAAGCACTTTCATTTTCTTTTTTTGATAAACAACAATGATTATGTATGATGTCATATCTATAATGTTCAATAAACAGCTCTTAATGTTATAAAATTGACAACCAATTGTAATACTGTCAACTATCGTTTTTATGATTATCCTTGTTTGTGTTCTATTTTTCGAACATGGTGAAAAAAAAGCACTTTCATTTTTTCAGAAACTATATTAACTATATTGAACTATACTTGTTTTTTGAATTAAAAAAAACATTTTTCGATTCAAAATTGAAAATGTTATACATTTTATAAAATCAACACACAAAAATGTTGAGATTGAGTAGAAAACAATTCGTTTTAAAAATACACTCCTTTGTTATAAATAGTTTTATTTGCTCAAAAACATATTTTCAATATTATTTCAATGATGCGAAGAAATTTGTAACTTTTCTTGAAATACAAAAATAAACCGAACCTTTATTCAATCAACAACCTTTTTACCATGACTATACATATAATTTTTATTCATTATGATGAGTGTCTCTATCTTATTATGTTCTATTGAAAACATATTTTATCACCTGGTATTTAAAGTGAAAACTGTTATTATAATTATAATTTAAAAATAATAAAAGTTGATTCTTTTTTTAATAAAATAAAAAAAATTAAAAAGAGGAATGCGACGAAAAAGCATTTTTATTGATACAAATAACAAAGTTATGAATTAATATTTGGACTAAAATGATGTTGTTGACCCGATAATTATTATCGGGTTTTAAATGCTTGTTTTGATTGTTTATCAATAATAGTTTTATAAGTTTTATTAAATACATATTAAAATATATTAGTTATTTATTTTACTATTTTTTATAATTTTAAAAATATGAAAAATACTATTGTTATTAGATGATGACAATTATTTATTTTAGTTCTACTAACCAGTTCCACTCTTTGTTCTTCAACTTGTTTTGTGTTGTATTATGAAAAACTATATTTTTGTTATTACCATTATAATTTATTATTAATTTACTATAATTTAATATATAATTTAATAATATTTATTATTCCGTCCCAAAAAATCTTTTATTTGACTTTTTTTTTCTTTTGCCAAATTTATTTTTACTTGTTCTTTTATTAAAACTATTTATTTTAAGTTTTTTCACCCTCAAATAGTAAGACGATTTTTTAAACATTTTTTGGATTATAAAAAATATTATCAATAGAAATTAATTTTTTTAATACCTTTTATAAATAACTTACAATTTTTTCATTTTATTTTTTACTATTTGAATAAAAACGATTTAAAAATAATAAATTATAAATAGAAGTTAAAAGAAAAAACAGTTTCTTCTTATAGAAGAACAGTAAAAACAAATAAGTCCTTTTCCATGTTAAAAGAGTCTGGTTTTTTCGAAAAGGTGAAGCTGATGACGAAAGAAAACTACGCGATGACAGTTTGTGTGTTTGTTTTTCTTGGCGCTCTGTCTTTTTTGATCGAGGTTATCACCCACAAGATCGAACACACGTTTTCCAAAAAGGAGCACATCCTGTCAATGATCCAACACTTGTACCACGAGCTTATGAACTTGGGCATTGTCTCATTTACTTTCGTTCTCTTTGACATGGTTGGTGTGTACGTTGGCATTTCTCACATCGCTCCAAAGTACAACGAACGTGAAGCAGACATTTTTGGCATTTTCGAGGTGGTTCATATCACCATTTTTTCAATCGCCGTGTTCTTGATTTTAACTGGCTCGTACGTTATCTTTATCAGTTGGGTATACCAAAAGTTGTGGAGCTATTTCGAGAAGTACGGCTTTCAAAACTCCGAGGAGAGCTTTTTGGAAAAGATGCAAGAACTCTCAAACAACAAATTTAATTACATCAACCCCGTGTTTCTCGCTAAATACGAGTTTGCCCTCAGAAGGTACCAGTTCAACATTATGAAGGAGAACTTTGTTATTATGGAAGGTCTTCCCACCAAGTTCCGGTTTGCAAAATACGCCACAAGTTGCTTCAGACGACTGGCCACTAGACATATCCACTTGAGTGGTAAGATGTGGGCGTTTGCAATCGTTTTTGAAATCTGCATGATCTCCACTATTTATATTCCAAACCAAGATATCGGGTGTTTAGTTTCTCACGCTTTGGGCTACGTTTCCGTTCCAATTGCTCTTCTTGTAATGCTCAAGTGTCGTTCTGTCATCGGTCAATTGGTTAAATTACATCACTCGAGTATGGCGCTTCCACAAATTAAGTTTTTGGATGATGACAGAAATTACCCTTCCGCTTCTGAGTTGAAAAACGAGTATTCTGAGAGTTACTCAGTAAGTGAAGATTACTCAACCATGCGACTTTCCCTTCAACGCGACGGGAGAAAGATTTCTCTCAACTATGGAATTCGAGACGTCCCACAGCCACAACTCCCAAAACCTCCAAAAGGCATTAAAGGAGTCATACACAAGTACTTTGGGTGGGTTCCGTGTTACAACTCTCCGTATTATACACCTGTTGAGAGATTGTTATGGTTTAAGTCTCATGGGTTTATCCATTTACTCATGAAGTGTCTTTCGATCTCTCAGGCCATCTATATTGTTCTCCACATCATTTTCTTTTCAAACGCTGACGTACATATGTGGCAGCACTTCTTGGTGATTGTCCCTCCTATATTTTTGATGATCTTTGCTCTTCCATTCTGTCTATCATCTATGACGCTTATTAGATACGTTGACAAAGATAGACTCGACGATGTTTGTTTCCATTTTCCCTTCATTTGTGTGCTTTCGTTCCACCCAATGAATTATAATATTATATTAATATATTAATACAATTATCCAATTTATACAGTAATGATTCAACTTATGAGAAATTATCTTTATTCTTATTGAAATAGTTTAAATATAATATTTATTCGCATGTCAACTACAATAGAGTTTATCTGACTTTGAGGTTGTCAAAACGATAGTGTTCCAATCAATCTCGAGCAAATTTTCGAAACGCAATTTATACAAAACGGTGGCTGGAGCCGAAAAGCAAAACATGGAAATTCCAGATCAAGAGATGGTGAATGTGTTTAAGAACCGATACCTTGCAACAAATGGAAATCCAGATAACATCGAGGAAATAAAAGTTTTGTCCGAAGTCATCGGGTCACTCACAAATGGGGTTTTGAAAAAATCTGGGGTGACGTCAAAGAAGATTGGAGATGTGACAATGCTCCAATCTGGAAACGGGGATGTCGTGCTTAAAGGAGTCGATCCACAGGGAATTGAGGAAATCCTTCAGCAACTCAGAACAAAACGGAAACAACAAGAAAACCTCAAGACCGAATCAGAGGCGGGTCCCGTTGCAATCTCAGCTACTCAAACCTCAAACTCATCATTTGGGCAACAGAACGAGACAACAGTTAAGCGGAAAAAATCAGAGGAGAACGAAACGCAACAGAGGCGAGACAAACCAGAAGCAACAGAAATCGAAATGACTGAAACACTGACGACAACTGGGCCGACTATTATTCCAGACCGATCGGAAGTAGTGTCGAACATGGAGAAAACGGACTCTAATAAAAGCATAGAGCTCTCCGACGACTCATCAAGTGACGATGTACCAACACCAAGGGCTTCGTTGAAACCAGGGCAATTCACACTTGTTCAAAAGGTCGCACAAACTACAACGCACTCCGTGATGAATGTTGGAGAAATTGAGATTATTGACATGAATGATGAGGCATAACCTGTGGTTATGTACTAAAACGATTATTTAATTTATACGTAATGAATTGGAGTTGCAAACCAAATACAACATTACTATTCATAATAACAATCCACTGGTACTCGTGTTCATCGCGCACACAGAAAACCTCTTTTGTGTGTCTCTAGCGCATTCCTCCATTCCAACAAGTTCTTCGTTTTTTTCGTCGATTTGGTCTTGGAAATCCTTCTCCGTTTGCAACAAATTGGCAATTTGCAAATCCTTTTCTTCGCACATTATTTCGAGTTCTTTGATTCGGTTTCTTGCCTCTCTCAAATCCTCTGACAACGCATTCTTTTCCCCCGTGAGTGCGTCGACCGACGGATTATTCAAAATCATGTGTTTCATCTCCTTTGTTTGGACCATGATTTTGTGAAATTGGAAATTGTCTGGCGAGGGGTCTGCTCGCTTCCTTGAGTTGAGTTCGTTCTTCAGCACTTGGTTCTCTGTTTTGAGTTTGATGTTTTCCATTTTCAGTTCGTCGTATGTGAGTTCTTGTGTTTTTCTGACAACGCGGATTTTCATCTGTTTTGTGTTCTTCGCGAAGTTGACTGTTCCCCAAGTCTCCACTGCGTTCGAGACCGAACTCGATATCGTCGCGATGAAGCAAATGCGTTGACTCTGTACCATTGCATTTTCCAAAACGGTAGTTAGTTTGCAGTCCCTGAATGGAATGTGACTGTCATGTGCAACAAGTGATCGAATAACTCTCCCGAGTGCTGTTAAAGTCTTATTGATATTCCCCGCCTCTATTTTGGCCAAACCAGTGACGCCAGACCTTTCAACTCTTTCCGAACCAGCAAGGTCCACAAATATCATAGTCCCACGACCAACAGAAATTAACGTCACACAATGCGAACGTGAAGATTGATCATTCATTTTCGTTGTACTGGTTTTTCGAAAGGAATATCCCTTCACAGTGAATGTCAAAGCCTCTTCCCAAGACGTGCAACGAACCATTGCAAGACCATTCACCCCAACAGCTGCAAGTCATTCTCTTGTGGTGTGTACAAACCATAATATATAATAAAATGTATTATAAATAGTAATATATTTTATTCTTTGATAAAAAGAGACAAACTGCCTTTAAGATCCGATTTCACGTCACACTTTTCACCGTCCTTCATCAAGTCGAAAAAGATGTCATTATACACTTCAAACATTGAAATACCAACTTCTAAGTTCCGTTGTTTCTTTTGGAAAAGTAATTCGAGACAACGAGGGACCAACCCTACATTATGGATTTGTTGTTGTTTATGATCGTAATCCCCAAATACAGTAAAGGTCTTTCCACTCCCCGTCTGGCCATAAGCAAAAAGTGTCGCTGCAGACCCAGACAAGCAACTATCAACTATACTAACTCCTACCCTTTCAAACAACGATCGTTGTGTCATTTTTTCATCACCGACAAAGTCAAAGTGACACTCCTCACGCGGGGAGTTGTTAATGATGACTGAGCGCTTCTCGTCAACTTCGCAACACGACGAAGTGACTTCGTTTTTATTGGCTGGCCGCACCCTTACTCCAACTTCTACTATTTGTTGCATCGTTCTATTCTTTCGCAGTTTCCTTTGAAAATCCTCAAAACTCAGTAGAACAAAAATATGGTTCATTTTACTATATATATAGTTTCGTTACATTAAAATTGAGAAAGAAGATTGTGATGAAAAAATGTTATATATAACAAAAAACAATGAAGAAGCGTCAAAGTCATTTTACTAAATTCAACCCTTTGGTGCACTGACCTGAAAGAGACTGGAGTGTTTTTAACATCTCAGGAATTTGTTCAACACCCGCTTTATCAACACGAACAGTGGATACAAAAAGACACTTTTGCCTGTGGTCGATGTGCCCTTCGAAAAGTTTGTGGTTCATTGCGGCTATTATAACATCGTCGACTTGCCCAATGTTCTCACACCCTAACCTTTTTATCATCGCATCGTAAAACAAGACCTTTTTCTCGTTCACCATTGTAAATAATATTTGCTCTTTCGCCTCTGTCATATCTCACATTTATTAGTTTTACTCAAACTCGTTTTCTTTTGAGGTTTGTGTTGTATAACATTTTAATAACATATTCAGAAATAAAATAAAATATGTTATTGTAGTATTTTTTTTTTGATATTATAAATATAATAATATAGTAATTTAATTTATAATACAGTTGTATTTTTTTATTAATATATTTATAGGTATTTATAATATTTTTTTAATTAATAAAAGACTAAAAAAACATTTAAAATAATGTGAATAATTATTTTGTTTTTTATTATTTAAAAAAACAAAAAAAAAACAATTATAATTGATATACTAATTATATAACTGACAAATAAATATTTTATTTTATCAAAATCAAAGAACAATAAAAAAATTTCTTACGAAAAATATTCAGAAAAATCAAAAAAATGTTAATAAATAGTATTAATAAATAAATTATAACTAAAAAAACAAAAAAAAAGAATTCCCATTTTTTTCGTTAAAAAAGACCGAATTATATTTTGAATTATTGTAAGATATTTTTTTTAAAGTTCGAAAAAAGAACTCAACAAATAAAACCAAAGATGAGCAATACAAATTCAATAAAGCCATCAGGATTTATTGTAATAAAATCACCAAAAAAAGATTTTTTCCAAGACGAGACAATCGACGAACTTATTATTAACGACTATATTCAAAAAGAGCCAGATCACGTTTACAGACCAAAAAACCCGCTTTATGTGAAACTCTCGAGAATGGAGGAAAACCGAACGCCAGTACAGTAACTTGTTGTTCTCACACAAATCATATTGTGGGTAAAATGCAGATAATTATTATATGTTAAAAAGTTTGGTTGTCATTCTACAAACTAGAAAAAACGATATTTAAATCAATATAATATAAATATAATTAAAACTACACAAATTAAACAAGACCAAAATTTAAGATTTTGGCAAAGTTACTCTTATTGACAAGTTTTGTTTCTTTTGGTGTTATAATCTCAAAGTTTACATGGTACAACAACAATTAAAGAAGTCAATATTTTTTCATAAGTGATATTAAATTATTCAATTAGATGCAGATGTCAAAAACAGTTACATTTTATTAATATTAAAAATAGAGAATATTGTGGTTTTATTTTCATCTTTTAGGAAGATACATTTCATTATAAATAATATTAATGTCTTCTTTATATCAAAATAATTTATTTTTATTGATTGTTCAATTAAATTAAATAGCTGTGGTTGGGACCTACATTGACTACCACCACCACCTTTACCAAAAAAAAATATTTGCCGCGAGTGTTTTTTGAAGGAAGTCCATTTTTCAGCCACTGTTTGTGCATCCCCATGTCACCCACTTTCCTTGTCCGTACTGTGTGGACGCGGATGTGGTTCCCCCCGCTTGCGGGGGGGTCAGGGGGGATCCGCGCCAAGGGAGGACTTGGAAAGTGGGTAAAACGGTGCACAAACAGACTGTTTGAGTGCGTCTTTATGAGCCTTCTTTTCAATGCTCCGTCTCACTCGTTTTCCACTAACTCGAGGTGAATTTTCGGCATTTCATGAATTCGGGAACCAGACCTAATATTATCCCATTTTCCTATTTACTATAATTTTAATTTGAATATGATTCGAAATAGAAAAAATAAATCTATTTTAAGAGGTGGTGGTCAATGTAGGTCCCAGCTGTGGTTGTATAATGATTTGTTCAAATTAAAAATCAATTATTTTATATTGATATGAATAATACCGACAACGAAACATAAATGAAGATGAATCGGTTAAAGTTAACATTCGATGCTTTGTCTTCTTATAATTGGTATGCCATTGATTATAATTTGTCACCTTTATTTAAACAAATTGTTAAAAACTTATTAAATTAAACATGAACACGTGTTGTACATTTCTTTAAAAAAATACAACACATGGAATAATTGAATTTAATCCATAATATTATAACAAAGCTGATAAGTAAGAAATTGTGCTTTTTTATTTGATAAAAACTCCAGCTATACTTAATAAATAATTATATTATAAAATTATAGTTAGAACTCTAATTAAATTAACACAGTATAAACTCAACCAACTGAAAATTATTTATACATAACAATTTTTAGAAATGTTATTATCCGGTGAAGTTATTTTACATGATGAATTGTGTCGATATATAAATTGTTAATTTTTATTTTGAACTAAAATGTCGATACAAAACTATATAACTTAAAAATAAAATACAGTTTGTTGTTCACATATATATTATATGGATATAATAAGTATTAAGTATTAGATGGAATTGTATCGACTTCAGGCTTCTGATATTCTATTTGACGAGAAAACTGATTACATTGGGAAAGGTTGTTTTGGGTGTGTTTATAAAGCGAGTCTGAAAGGTGTGACTGTTGCTGTTAAAGTTCCGATCAAAGAATTAGAAGATAGCCAGTTAGAATCATACATGCAAGAGATGAAATTGATGAATGACTCACATAGTCCGAATGTAGTATTATTTATTGGTATGGCGATGTCACAGAACCTCCCTATGTTTGTGACTGAATTTATCAAAGCTGATTTGTTTCGATTAATTCATTCTGTTGACTCCCTTCCCCCCGAGTACCGATATCATCAATTAGATTTAGCATTAAAAATTGATTTATTTGCACAGTGTTGTGCCAGTATCCAGTGGATTCACAATCGCGTCGGGTTGATTCATCGTGATATTAAACCAGCCAATTTCTTGTTAGACGAGAACTTTCATGTGAAAGCTTGCGACTTTGGGTTTGCAGAGAGTGTTAAAGGGAAAGATCATACTTTCAAAGGTTCTCCTATGTACTGTTCGCCTGAAGTGCTTGAGAAGGTTAAGAACATTGGCAAAGAAATAGATATCTACGCACTTGGTATAACTATGTGGGAATTGTTTTATGAACAATACCCCTTTAGTGAACACCCCGAAATAGAAACAGTGGAACAGTTACTTCCCGCTTTGAAAAAGGGGATGAGGCCAATTTTACCAAATCATTTTATCAAAGACAACGAAAGCAATTCGTCCAAAGCACTTGAAATCAAAGAACTTAGAAAGGCGTTTGGAGGACTTTGCGAAACTATTCCAATCGAGATTGAAACGTTGATGATGAAGTGCTGGTGCGCGGAACCCAAAAAGAGACCAGATATTAACAAACTAGTGGATGCAGTGAATGACCTCAAACTTTCGACAAGTATTGGTAATATGTCGGCTACAACGTGGTGGAAAAAGTGTTTTGAAAAGGATGGGGGTGGAGTCAACTCTGTGATAGTCGAGAAGTTCATAGAGCCGTTGATCAAAAGTTACAAATTGAAAATTGATTCAATCAACTTACTCAAGGAAAATATAGGAAGATCAAATGAAGTCGATTTGCAGAGGTTTGAGTATCTGTTAAATACATATGGAAAGTTTTTCACCGACAAAACGGCTTTCACAAAGATGGTTGACGTCTTTAGAGCAGCATGGTGGTTCTCTGCACTGACAAAAGATGAGGCGTTGAGTGTATTGGACAATCAAGTAGATGGTACTTTTTTGATACGAGAAAGCACAAGTGTGCCAAATTCTCCATTAACTCTTTCGAGAAGAAATGCAGGACAAACTTTACACACAAGAATCCTCACATCGAAAGATAAAAAGGGGAATATCGTATATTCAGTGTCATTAAAAGGAAGAGAAACTTCATACGACGATGTGTGCACGTTGATTGAGTCACTAATGGCATTGAGTGTTATTAAAACCCCGTGTGGTCATGACACTAAACCATCACTTTACTAAATTTTATTACAGTAAAAAGCATCTATTTGTGGGTTTTCAAACAGAGAAAAAATATTTATTTGTGGGTTTATCATGGAATTGTGAAGTAAATTCTTTTCACTATTTTATACATAAAAAAACAGTGTTATAGAAAATATAGTAGTTTTTTAATTATAATAAAACTATAATTTTTATTTAAATGTACCTAAATTCAAAGTTCGAGAGCAAAATAATTATTTGTGGGTTTTGCATTTGATTGGTCCATTGACCCACAAATAGACGCAACCCACAAATATAAAGCCCACAAATAGATGCTTTTTACTGTAGTTTTTGTTAATAATTTTTTTAATTAGTAACAAAAATTAATCTTTTTATGTGAATAGTTGAACTATTAATAATTCAACACAGAAATTAAAATTAAAATTAAATTAAAAAAAAATAATATTATTATAATTAATAAGTATTATTATTATATTATAATCATAAAGTTAAACTAAAGTGCATTTTGTTGGTTCAACCTCATTTGTTTCTTTTGAATTGTGTGGTTTTGGGGTTTCGCCTCGTTTATTGAGACACTTCAACTCTCTTTTGTTGGCTACTCTTACATCCCAAGGTACATCCAATTTTATTAGTGAAGTTGGTAATGTTAAAACCACATGATTTTTACAAGACAAACTAAATGATGTCATACATGTAAGACCACTTAAATTTGCATCACAATATTCAGCAACATCAATCTTTGCTTCTTTAATGGCATACAATTGATGTGCCAATTTCCCGTCATTATAAAAGATCCCATGCAAACTTCTTGCTTCAACGTTTGGAGGTATCAACAAGAACACACCATTTGTAAACACTGCATTAAAACTATAATACACTCTATCAATACCAATTTGTGTTCTAAGGGTTTCAAAGTCGTCGTATCTATCTAAATTTCTTACAAAAAATTTCACGTGAATTTGAATTCCTCTCACCTTCAAAAGTTTTGGAATTGTATCTTCAAGTTCAAACAAACATCCTGTTTCGATTTCGACAAATTGAAGAATGGGGTATTTATCAATGTTATTGATAAGATCATTCAGACCACAATTGTTATCAAGAAAAATTCTCACAACGTTGTCTTTCACAAAATCAGAATTGTCGACTGAATATACTGTGTCAACATATTTCCCAATTCTCTGAGTTTTAATCTCTTTATTGAACTCACAAACTTTTTCTTCATCTACAATTCTAATGCGATTGATCTTTTGAAGAACTTCATCAGGGAGTTCAAGCGCTGTTTGGTAATCAACTTGCAATGTTTCAAGCTTAGGGAGACACTTCAATATTTTCTCCACCATCGCAATCGTCTTTTTTGACTTTAGAGACCAAGGATTAACATGAAGTCTTCCCATGGCGTCTTGGCAATCATGTGAAACGTTCATGAATGTGACAATATCAGTTTGTTGGATATATAATACAACGTTCATTAAGAAAACTGGTTCTAGTCTGATTCGTTTAGTTGCCATGATATTTACCTATTTCTAGTTTTTCATTCATTAATATACCATTTTAATGTAAAGTAATGTATCGCATTGTGATATAAACTACACGTAATTGTGTAATAATTAATTGGTCAACTTATTATAGCAATCTACACTATTTTTATGCTAAAATTGTTATACTTTTATATAATTATATAATTTTACTAATTATTTTAAAGTGAAAAATTGTATTTATTATTTGTTATATAAATTTATTATATAAATAATTCAATGTGTTATTAGAATAACAAATATAACTCAAAATTGAAAACTTAAACAACGTGCTTTGTTTTTCCAATGTACTTTTGTGGGAGTGGCGAATTGAGAATTTCAAGTGTCTGCAATTTCCAGCTGTACACTTCTCTTGGGCTTCTAAGTTCTTCGTACATCCACTTATGATAATATGGGACGATAGTTGGGAATGAGTTAATATCTTGTTTATCGCAGAATTCCTTATGTTTAGGGCAGTCGATGTCAAAGACATGGACTCTGTCCCCAAGGTACTTCAAGTCGTTTTCAAATTTCTGGAATTCCTTTACAATTTTGACGCAAAAAGGACATGACTCCTTATAATATTTCACTATGACCAGTCCTCCCTCTTTAATGTACTTCTCGACTTCCTCTGGTGTTCCTTCGGATGAAAATACACCACACACCAAAAGTGCAATAATAATCAATTCCATTATCTTTTAAAGTTTGTAGTTCTTATCTACGTGTCACTTTTGCTCGTTTTCAGTACAAATTTGATTAACAAAATTATAATTAAATTATAATTTTAAAGTTAATATATGTGTATCATAATTAAATAATATTTTTTATTAATAACAACACAAAGTCACAAATACTAGTAAGTATTATATAAATTCTATACAAATAGTAAAAATAAACGTGGAATAAAGTAACTATATGTAATAATATTCGACCCATACCAAAATACTATTCTCAATACAACAATAGATGGTCTCACTCAGAGTCAAGCTCGACTTTCTCATTCAAATCTTCACTCTCTTGACTACTGTCAGAAGTCTGCGGGTCTACACTGTTGTCTGCTGTTGTTGAATTTTCAACAAGACTCAAATTCTCCTCAACCAAGTGGTGCACATTTGTGCAGTTGAACTTCTTGAACTTCTCGCTTTGGTCTATTTTGATCCCAGGAGAATTAAACACTTTCTTTTTCAACTCATCGCCATCTTTTGGAACAGCCAAATCACCAACATCAAAGTACCCCGTGTCTGTCTCGTCATCAAGTTCTGGGACAAAAATGTCTTCTCTGCTTTCACTGAGTAAAGTGTTCCAATTAATACCTTCAAACCAAGGGTGGTTCTTTAACTGATTAACAGAAAGATACCCCAGCCTAAGTTCCGGTTCAACGCGAAGTAAACTGCTCACAAAGTCTTTCATCTTTTCAGACAACACACTTTTGATGTCTTCAGGGTAATCAAATTTCCCCATCCGAACCTTCTTGAAGATCCCGTCTGGCGTCTCGTCATGGAATGGAGGTATTCCAACAACAAACTCATACACCATACACCCAAGACTGAAATAATCGGAACATCTACTATATTGGAATGATACTATTGACTCAGGAGCAACATAGTCTGGTGTACACAACAGTCTCGAGTCTTCATACGTTTGTTGTATTTTGCTTCCAACCTTCGACAACCCAAAGTCCGTCAACAAAAGATGGCCGTTTTTGTCAATCAACACGTTGTCTGGTTTCAAATCTCTATGAATACACCCCAACCCATGGATATACTCAAGTGCTATAACAATCTCTCCAGAGTAGATTTTAGACGTGGTTTCATCTAATGCGCCAACGTGACTTAACAAACACCGTAAGTCTCCCCCAGGACAAAACTCCATGACAAGATACAAATTCAAAACGTCTTGAAACGCATAAAACAGTTTAACTACACTCCGCGCCGATGCATACTCTAATATACTTTTCTCAGCTAAAACCCCATCGACTACATTCTTCCGTATCATATCCGCTTTCTTCATCACTTTCATCGCGTAGACATCATTCGTCACTCTCTTACGAACTAAATACACCGAGGAATACGCCCCTCCATTGAACTGTTTCAAAATGTTGAAATCGTTCAACCCGACCGTCTCCCAACTCTCATCCAACCGAACGCCGGCATTCAACACATTAAATCGCTGCCGCATGTTCGTCGGGTTCTCAAGAAATTTGCCCAATATATCAGTTTTGTGTTGAATCAACTTTTGTGTGTAAAACGCGAACACAAAGGCACAGTTATCTCCTCGATTCGACTCAACCAAATCTGCAGCCACACTAATATAGAGTTTGAGGTGTTCGTATTGCTTCGTGAGCGATTCCAACATCACTCGTGATGCATCTGCACACACGTCGATGATTCTATTGAACGCACTCGTCTTCTTCAATCCAAAGACTCTTTTAGCTTCTTCGGATATCCCTTTCAGTCGTTCTGCGTCGGTGGAGTACTTCATACAAATCTCATTCAACGTCTTACAGTAATACGTGTGTTTCGCGAGCGCGTCCACCATCACTTTTGCCTCACATATCCTACACACAACAAGACTTCGTGGTGTGAATGGAGTTGGTGGTCGTTCTGTGAGTGAAGAGACCGACAAATCCAAAGGAGTCAGACTTTGTTTTCTGCTACTGTTTTGTGACTGCTGTCGCGATGTGCTTTGTGATCGAGTGGATTTGTGTATCTCATACATCGACACAAGTCGGAGAAGTCTAAGGAGTTGGTTATCTTCCGGGTGTTCTTTGCTTTGTTTCTTCAGTTCCACGACAATCTGATTCAACTGTATTGCGTCCAAAAGTTCAAAAGTTTCCAACTTCTTACAGAGTTGATAGACATCTGCATTATCTTTATGTGTTTGTCCTGTTTTTTCTGCTTCTTCTGGTATATCAGTCTCAGAAGAACCATCCAGAAATTGATTACTCAAAGTTAAAAGTGGCACAACAGGTGGAGTGTCTTCTGTCGGCTTCTCACAGACACTCGTTTGTCTTCTTCTTCTTGGCGTTCTATTAGTAAATTGTGCTGCACTTTCAAGGACTACTATCCATTCATTTAACAACTCTTTCGTCGAGCTTTTGAAATGGTACTGAGACCCTGAAGACAGTGTAATAGAAAACGTCCGTTGTGCGCTATCAACGACTTTAACAGTTGCTCGAGCCAAATTCAACACCGTTGGAAGAGTCAATTTGGAAAATTCCTTCTCGGAGACAAAGTATATAAGAAAGTTGTGTTTGACAATGACATACCTCAATACCCATCTTTTAATGACATATCCCTCTTTCTTTAAATCACCAGAGAAAGTCGGTCGTTTAATAGAAATCAGTCTTGTTGATAAGATAGACGTTAACCACTGTTTGAAAAACTCCGACTCACATACGCCACTGACATTCAAAAACTCTTGCAAGTACTCACAGAGAGCAGTGTCTCTCATCGGATACGACATTTGCCGTTTTGGAAACGTTGGGAAATTCGACGTTGGAAAGGAACTTCTGAAATAAGCGTCGAACTCATATAAGTCATTTGCAGTTTTGTGGATGACATTCAGTTTCGCGTCATTGGTGAACGAAATTGTGTGAACGATGATTGGTGTGACATTCACTTTGTCAATCATTATTTCAGAGTTGACTTTATTAATCACCAAATTCGAAAAATCGGCACTACCACTGACCGGCTCAGTGTTATCGACAATCTCTTTGGTCTCTACATTGTACATCAAACTCTTTCTACCTAACTGCTTCTTCGTTGTGTGCACATATACAGGAGATTTGATATCCTCATGGTCTCCCATCCAATAATCCATTTGAAGTGTCAAAAGAATTAATTTTTTATTATTCCAAATTATAATTATAATTTGTATTTCTTTTTTTCTTTTTATCTTTTGGAAAAATGGTGTCGTGTTTGACTCAAAAACAGATCGTCGTTTCGGGGTTTTTTCTTCCATTTTTGAAAATAGCTAAAAACCGCTCAAAAAAATTATTATTTTACACTTCCTTTTTTTCTGTTTTCTTTATTTAGTAAGTCTAGTTCTTTTATTTAGCCTTTTACTAATTTCTACATTTTTTTTATTTTTTTTCAAATGGAATAAAATAATAAAATTATAATTCAGTTACTAGTTTTTCAAATCCTTCAAACCAAGTTCTTAACATAAAAATTCCAGAAAAGATAACGGAAACTGTAAACAACTGTATTACAAATTATTCTTCAAACTTTTTGTTTATCGACAAACGGATTCCGATAAAAAAAAAAGCCTATAAAATAAAAATTAACTTAAATAGATTATTTAATTAACTTATTTCGATTAAATTGAAATAAAAAATGAAATGGTATTTTAACTATAAACTAATAGATTACAAAAATTTGACTATTTTGAAGAAGAAAATTCCTGCGCCAAGCCAGAGCAAAGAAGAGCCAATAAGTAACACAAACCACATGATTGTCGCGACTTCTTGTCCAGGAACTCTCACATTCATTCCCCAGAGTCCTGCCAAAAATGTCATAGGTAAACAGAGTAACCCTATAACTCCAAAGTTGTGCATCAAATTGTTTTCCTCTTTGCAATATCTATTGACAGAGAGTGTGATCTTTGCTAAATAAGTGTCTTCTATTGATGTGATATCATCGATCATAGCGTCGAGACGTGACAACACCTTCATAGTATCATCTTGGACATCACGAAGGTACAACTTCAAGTTAGTAGTGATAGTCTTCTCTTTTGATCTTAACATGTGGCGCAACATACTCTTCTTCGGGTCGACGACAAATCTCAGACTCCGCGCTGTCTTCTTTATTGCTTCTATTCGCGTGAGAAACTCGTCTTTCTCGTCATTGATCATAGCGGGGACCAAATTCGACGTTGTTTCGATATCTTCGAGTAACTGATCGCTTAAGACAGATATCTCTTTCATAATCATCCCAAAGAGGACGTATAAGACCCATTGTGCACTTGGGAAGTCGCCTTGGTGTTTCATTCGAATCCGATTTTTGACTTCGTCGATGGCAAGTACCTTGTTAAATCGAATTGTTACTATCATATTCTTCTTGAAGACAACATAAAACAAGAATGGACGAAGAACATTAGAGTCTTCTTCATATCGCATCTCAACACAAGTCATCCCAATGTATTTCTCAAAGTACGCAATCTTCTCGGAACACCCGCCACCAAACCAATCCTCGACAGTTAAAGGATGTAACCCAAAGATTTGCCCTATTTCAGTGCACACTTGTTCTTCGGGTGACGCTAAGTCAATCCATATCCCAGAACTTTCCATCGTCTCCCCACTGTGTTTCATCACTTCTTTCATGCGGCGCAACTCCTTTGTAGTGATCATTCGACCGTTTTTGACGGTGTCAGAAAAGAACTCAAATTTGGTCCGCTTCCCATGCCCCTTTTTGGGTTCTAAAGGAATGTCACTTGCACTGTCACACTCAACTTCTTTCGCTTGTTTTGACTCGCCTTGATCAGTAATAACTTCCTTTAGTACGTCATCCACTTCAGTTTCTATAACTTTCTGTAAATTTTGTGGACTCTCTTTAACATCTGGCGGTGTTTTTGTTGTGCTTTTGGGGGTGTTACTTTTGTCCGCTTTCGATAGAGAAGGTTTAAACATTTTTTCGACTTTTTCAACTATTTTGGGTTTGCCCGGCATCGGATTTTCAACTTTGTCAATTTTTCCATTTTCGTGAAGTAATTGGACATTTTTGTCGAATATCTCCGGTTTTGCTGTTTTTGGAGTCAAAGACTTTAAAGGTGGCGGGTCTTTTGGAAGAGGAGTAACTTCTACCTTTTCAGTCGTTTCAGAATCTTCTTCGTCAGCTTCAGATACATTACTAATAGTATCTAGTTCACTATCATCAATCGTTTTGCCTTCTATTTCTTCACATTGTTGACTTTCATCAAATTCGTCGTCTTCGTTGTGGTCAAGAGATACCATTGGTATTTCTGTTGGTTGGGTCCGACTTACATTCCTTCGCATGATTTATGATATGTGATTTTTAATGTTAAATTTTCGGTGCATTTTTGGTTTGGTATTTTTGTCTTCTAAAACAGTTGTTTGTATTGTTCTGGCTTTAAATATTAATTTAATTATTTGTGCCAATTGTTTTCTTACTGTTTTAGTAGTAATAATTATCTCCTTTGTTATTAGTGATTCATAATTTATTAATTATACTTTTACTAAATGTTATAATTATAAATTTTTTTTTTGATAAATAATTTATATTTTTTTATATTTTTTTTTACCACGAAAAAACTAAATAATTTTAATAAGTTAAATGATTAAAACTATATTAATTTATAAAAAAAATCACTATTTGTTTATACAAATTATTTTATTTTATAAAAAAAATAAAAAAAACAAAAAATCATTTCCTAAAAAAACACAACTATAATTATATATTTAGTTAAATACATAAAGTTATTATTAATAACTTGTTAATAATTAAAAGTTATATCGGTTTGTGTTTATAATTGTTATAATAATTTACACATTTGTAATTATCCGTTAAAAATAATAATGCAAAAATAGCAACCTAAAAATCAATTATAATTAAACTATAATAATTAACCATCTTGAAAGAGAATAACATATAATATTAATGAATAAGAAAAAACTATATGACAAAAACCCTACAGTGATAAAAAGAAAAAAGAACTTCTAACATTGTGGGATGGTGTCATTGAAGCTCCAGAAGAGACTCGCTGCCTCAATTATGAAATGTGGAAAGAGAAAAGTTTGGTTAGACCCGAACGAGACTCCAGAAATCTCTCTTGCTAACAGCAGAAAGGCCATTAGAAAGTTGATCAAGGACAGACTTGTTATCCGCAAGCCACACATCATCCACTCCCGTAGCAGAGTTGTAGACAGACTCCACGCCAAGAGACTTGGAAGACACAGCGGACACGGAAAGAGAAAGGGTACAAAGAACGCTAGAACCCCACAAAAGTCCCTCTGGGTCTTCAGAATGAGAGTCTTAAGAAGACTTTTGGCCAAGTATAGAGCAATGGGAAAAATCGATAAACACGTCTATCACGATTTCTACATGATGGTCAAGGGTAATCAATTCAAGAACAAGAAGGCTCTTGCTGAGGCTATCTTCAAGACTTTGGAAGAAAAGAAATTGGCTGCTAAGAACGCTGAGAAAGTCATCAAGACTACTACTTTCATCACTGAAAGAAAAGACTTAAAGGCTGAAGCTAAACCAGTCCTTGCTGAGACTAAGGCTGAGAAGAGAGCCGAGAAGAAGAACGAGAAGAAGGCTGACAAAAAGGTTGAAAAGAAGGTTGAGAAAAAGACCGAAAAGAAGGTCGAGAAGAAGACTGAAAAGAAAGCTGAGAAGAAAGTCGAGAAGAAGCAAACCAAAAAGAATTAAGTAAATCGTTAAGGCTTTTATATTTCATTTTCATCATTTTGAGTTGATCTTTTCTTCCACCAATTAAAATTTACTTTTAGTGATCAAAAAAATCGATAAAAAGAACAAGAAAAGCAGTTCAAAGATGGAATTCAGAAACTCAATTTTCCGACTTGCAGAAGGCGACACGGAGTTCTTAAAAGTGCTTTCGCGAGAAGCTAATTTGACACAATCACTTCGACGCGACTTATGGAAAACCGTGTTAAGTGATGTCGACGCAAAGAATGAAGACACAGAAAAAAGTGGTCCAAAGGAAGTGAAAGAAGTGTTTGGGAAAATAACTAACGCCACACAGAAAGAGAATTTTGGGCGACTGTATTTGATTGTTGAACAACTGATTTCGACTGAAGACCCACAGTTTGAAGCAACATTGGTGATTGCGACGCTAATTGCACCACTTTTTGAAGATGATTTGACTCTTCAAAAGAAGGCGATCACATGGTTCTTACAAAAGAATTGTATGTTTCAAGCTGATTTGGAAGGAATAGTACAACTTCTACACATTTTGATCTATTACCACAACCCAGTGTTGGCTCAACACATCACAGAAATGAACGTCGATTTATATGACTTGATTCTTCCTTCAGTTTGTTACTCGTCATCTCAAGGTATGAAAGTGTAACACACAGTTTTTCACACTCCTCGCTAACTTCTTTGTTTCACCCTCCGATGCACTCGCACTGTACGACAAACTACTTTTCACAACACAGCCGTTGACGTTGTTTTTGATGGCTTCAATAATGCTTATCAATCAAGAGGTATTGGTCTCGACAAATTCTGCTTTGTCATTCCAAGCGTGCTTCTCACAATTCACACTCACTGTAGAATCAATACCTTTCCTCTTTTTACACGCGTCGTATTTGCAAAACAAAACACCATCTTCATTTACTCGACTCTTAAATTCATGTTTGACGAATGGCGCCGTTTTCCAGAGGTGGGCTGCAAGCGGGTTTGACGGTGGACTGTCTTTCCCAGTATCACCCATTGACGTTTTGGCTGACAAAACGAATGGTCTAAAAATAGAGTATGTTGACGCACGCTCCGACTCTGATTATTCAAATGGGCACATTAGCAATGCCCTCCAATTGAAAGACGTCACACTTTCAGACACACACTACGTGCTGTACTTCTCTGGAGCGTCAAACGAGACTGAAACTATCAAACGGACCATTCAGAACCTCCACGAGAGTGGAATAAAGAGGGTTTCTCTCTTAGGTGGAGGGTATTCTTTATACCACAAATTTTGGACTGAACGCAGTGAAGGCTTTGCCATTGATAATCACACAAAGGAGTGTGCCGTGTGTAAAGGACTTTCAGTGAAGACGTTGTTTGATTTTAGTCCAGCCAAAAAAGACATTCAAAAGAGGAAACTGCGGAGTTCCATTTCCGACCGCCTTAAAGAGAAAATTGTTGAATTAGTTGGGGAGAAATCGACTAAGGAACTTCCATTCAAAAGTGATGATCCGATGAATTACATCCCATTCAAGCGCGATATCTACTATGAAGGAAATGTTTGTGTTCTCGAGTATAACAGTATCGAGCTGACAATCAACTTTGGAGAGCAAGTCCTTGAAGAGATATTATATAATGAAATAGATCACTTCTGTATCACTGGCAAGAGCATTTCGATCTTCATCAAAAATACGCCAAAGGTTGTAAAAGTGACGTGCGTTGACGACGCAACTGAAGTTGCTCAAGACCTTCAAAAGCGGGCAATGGAGTAATTAAAGAACTATTAACAATTAATTATCGAAGTAATAATCTAATTAATAATCAATTACAGTATTCGTTAGTTGTTGTGATGTACTCGAAAGGGTCTTTCGACGCCATTTTTAAAAAGTGTTGTAATGTGATGCACTTACTTTGGTCGATTGGGCGGAATGTATTTTGCGTGTATAAAATTTCGATGGGCTTTTTAAATGGCTCGCCACAGTCATCAACAAGTGCACCATTGACACACAAAGTGTTTTTTACTTGGCAAATCCCATGTGAACTGTGACAATGCCCAAAACAATGCATTTGAGGGTTATACTTTTGAATGAAGGAAATGACTTCTTGACTCCCCGCATGATAAAAAGTGTCGTTGATGATTTTCCTGTTAGAAATGCCTAAATCCATCACACCTAGGGGTGGCTCATGTGATAAACTAATGAGTGGCTTTGTCGTGTCAAATTTCTCTAGTGGTGCTTTGAACGGATAATTTTGACCATAAAACTGAAAATTGCCGATGGTCTTAAGACCATTCAAAAATGTCAAGTTCTTCTGATCCGACTCCAGTTTCAACGACACGTCGCGGAGTTCTAAACGTCTCTCGTGATTTCCCCATATCATTACTGTGTGTTTTGTTGGTTGGTCTGCAAGCCACCTTTGAAAAGATTTCAACTCACTTTTGTTCCCTCCATTTGTCACGTCGCCACATATTATCAAAAAGTCCGTTTTCTTTATAGAAAGCATTCGGTGTGTGTTATGAATATCAGAAATAACAGTAAAATGTGTCGATGACTGTAACATCAAACAGTTCGACTGATTATTTTGTAAATTACTAAAGTTTTAAAACCCTTTTTCTTTTGAAATATTCAATTCACAAGTTTTTGTTCATTTTTTTGAAATGTTATAAATTTAGATAAACAATTTGGATAAACACAATTTGCACTTTTTTTCATTCATTTTAATTCTTATTAAAAACTATATGAAAATTATTTTATTTAAAAATTATTATTATAAAAATTTTAAATATTTATGATAAAAAAAATATAGTAAATCATTGTATAAAAATACTATACTATTATTGTGTATATTATTGTATAATATAATAATAAATATATATATTATATTAAATTAAAAAATTGTTATTAAAATTGTTATTTTATAATAATAATTATATTATTTACAATTGATAATAAATTTTAAAAAAACATTTTTTTAAGAAAAATACTAATAAATGTTATAATAATAACAAAAAAGTGAAGAAACAAAGTTAATATATTTAATATTTAAAATTAAAATTAAACCATACTTTGAAATAAAAAAAAAAGAAACACCATCTTCACTAATTAGTTAACTACCAAAAATAAACAATAACAAAACCTCAAACTAAATAAATAATTATTTTCCTTTTTTTCCTCGAAAATAGTCAACCCCAATAGTTCAACAATAGAACTAAAGAAAGTAAAGAACTCAAAAACAAAGACAATTCAGATGCAAACAGTCGACATGCCAATGAAGCACGCAGAGGGCGTTTTGTTAGGAACCGCCTCGATTGTTGGGATTAAGTACAACGGCGGTGTTATTCTTGCTACTGACACTTTGGCATCGTATGGTTCGATGGTCTATTCAAATCAGATTAACCGAATCGACCGCCTTGGCAAACACACCATCATCGCTGCAAGTGGGGAGTTGAGTGATTACCAAGAAATCAAAAACGTTATGATGAAAAAGGTCAACGGCGAGAGCACCACTGACGACGCCGAAGAAGATGAAGAAGATAAAAAGAACAGCGGGAAAGGGTTAGGCCCAAAGGAGCTTTTTTCCTATTTGAATCGAATGATGTACCAAAAACGAACTGACATGAAACCACTTTACAACACCGTCGTTGTTGCGGGCGTGAAAGACAAAAAGGTGTTTTTGGGACAAACTGATATGTACGGAACTTCATTCGAGGAAAATTATGTGTCGACTGGGATTGGCGCGCATATGGTTATCCCTTTGATCAGAAAGGAATGGAATGCCGAATTCACTCAGGAACAAGCACTTTCGCTGATTAAAAGATGCTTCCAAATTCTCTATCTCAACCATTGCTTCGCAGGTAAAATGTACAAAACAGCGATCGTCACAGATAACAAAGTTGAGATGTCAGAACCTATCACCATCGACACAACAGGAAGATGGGACATTTTCTATTAAAATTTACTCTTTCGTGTTGTTTCACTTTGGTTCACCATATCGTTGTTTGCTTGTTGATAGGGATGGGGAAAAATATTAAAATTGAGTGATGAGGAACATATAATTAACAAAACTCGTTAAAAGAAAAGAGCAACATGATCTGCACAATCGAGCCAATAAGCGTCCCAAACGACGACGAGGCAAGGATAATACCAACAGCAACACGCTCTTCAGCATGTTTCAAAATTGCAAGACTCGTCGCCGAAAACGAGTAGCCCTGGAAAATACCTCCAAAAGCACTCATGAAAATCAGAAGGATGAAACTCACTTGGCGTACCTGTCCTCCAAGGCCGTTAGATTCTTCTGGATATTTGTTCAACACAAACATCGTAAATTGCGAAAAAGTTGGCACCAAAAAACAAAGAAAAACAGAGCTGAATACGGAGAACGCGAAAAGCACTTTTTTGGATGGGATGTACGGAATGAAAATGAACACTGTTCCCAAAAACACGCCCCCTGTAAAAACTATCGAAATGTTCTTCATCACAAATGAGTAATTTCCATAATCGGTACTCGTCTGCCTCGACGCACCAATTGGGTAATAATTGAAAAGACCTGGGTAAAGCGTTGCTGTTGTAAACGCAGTGATAACAATTGTGAGGACATTGTATTTCAAATTGACGATAACGTCCCGCATCTCCGAAAGCGCCGACCGCAGTAGAACCTTGGCTTTAAACGACCTCGAAGATGAAAGAGCCACAGACTGTTCCAGCAAATTTGTTGGTTCAATTTTAATAGCTTCCCTGAACGATTTAAAAGTGAAGTAAACTGTCAACACCATAACAAAAGCAACAACTTCAACAACAAGTAGTACGGACATCATAACATAATAATCGACTTCCGTTTTGCTTCCACCAAGCATAAATCCGATATAATCCATCATTGACGATAGAAACGGCCCACACCCTACCCCGAGAAGATAAAAAAGTAGATGAATCCATGAAATAAGCGAGGAAATGTGTAAAAATGAGAGCATGTTGAACGCTGACAAAAAACCGTGGGCGATGCTCGACATTTCAGCAATGGCCAACTCCACACCATTTTTGTCGTCGATTGTATCTGCCGAATACACCAAGGGTAGAACCCCTTCAATGAGTGAACACAAAATAAATTGACCAACCAACGAAAAACACACAAAGTAAAAGAGTGGGTACTTCTGAAACGAGTTGAAAGAAATCAGAGTTGTGACAACAGTCAAAAAGTTGACAAAAGCAGTGCTGATTGGGATGATGTATATAAATGAGACAGAACCCGCGTACGTCCCCATGTCGTTCACAGTAGAAATGAGCGCTTCATTGAAAAAGTTGTACGAAACCCCTACCAAAAAGCTCACAACAATCGTCGCAAAGTTTGCAATCCAGCTGAGGTCAGTGTTTACTTTCATTTTTTTCGTGCTACTCATCACCCCTTCGTTCTCCATAAAAATAATAATCAGTTCCAAACTTCTATTTCCTCAGAAAATTATTTGGAACGATTTCATTTTTAAGAAAAAGGACTTAAAAATTTACTCATTGATGTGTCATGGTCAACTTTTCTTGTCCTTTGTGATATCAACTTCTAACACGACGAAACAACGTTTTTTCCTCCCTCAAATGTGTTCTTATTTTGCCATCCATCTCATTTCTTCAATCTCATCGTTTTTATAAAATTATCGTTTCTTATCAAAAAATATGTGTTTTTATTACTAAAACTCTAAATTATAATAAACTAATAAATCAATCAAAATAAAAAACAGAATAACAACATTTATTGTGATATTAGTAATTTATAATAAAACAAATCATTAATAATAAGTTCATTTCATTACAAAAACAAAACTAATTTAACTCAAAAAATTGAGTGACACATGATCTCATCCAATCTCCCTCAACCAGCCGTTCAGCCAAACCCGATGGATGCGAACAGTGACAAATTTGATCCCGTCTATTTTATCAACAAAAACATTCCTCAATTTGATCATCGCAAAATTTCAGATCTAGAGGACGGAACGACACACGAGCAAATTCAGATACAAAAAACGGTCTTTTCTCTTCTTCAGTCGCAACAAACATTAGAGCGGGAATCTTTAAAAAGCATGCAGATCTTACCTGACGAGGTATCATCTCTTGGAAGAAAGATGAATACATTGAATGGTGAGACTCAATATACTGAAGCGATATTAAAAAGTATATGTGAAGGTGTTCAACTGCTTGGGCTAATGAAATCAAACATCACCTTCACCGTTCAACTCATTCGACACGTCGAACAACTCGACATGTTGATATCAAATTGCCAGAACTCATTGAAAGATAACGACCCGCTGAGTGCGGCAGACGCGCTTCGAACAGCTAAACTCATCCTTCAAACGTACAATGAAGTGTCGTCGTTAGACATCTTTGCCAATTCGATCAAAGAGCTTAAAAGAGTCTGCAACGAAGTCGTGAGTGCCGCGACTACGGCGGTTGTTCAATTTGAGAAGGACGATATCGACAAAAAGATGATGAGAAACTACTTTGAGTTGGTTGAAGAGGTTTTCGATGAACAGAAAGACGGGTTTAAAACTTATCTGGTCACCCATTTGACTATGGGATATGCAAATGCGTTCCCACTCAATGCCGAACAAAGCTCGTTGTTAAACATCTCCAAAAGGTATCAATGGTACTTGGAGAAGTTGACTTTCGCGAAGGACAAATTCACAAATACATTACCACCCCAATGGAGGTTTTGGGAGTCAATGACACAAGACTTCTGTGCGACTTCTAAGTGTGTTTCTATATCTTATAATATTTGTATGGTATTGTAATATAATATATAATCGTTTACATATTAATCTATAGAGAAGCATTCCACGACTTACTTGAAAAACAGTCACAAGGTAATGCGGAACAATTCACAACGTGTTTGGTGAAGGCTATTCGGAGCACTCGGGCATTTGAAGCTGAGGTAATCAAACGAATTCGACAAGAGAAATGCGTTGAAGGAGAGACGTGTCTGATATATGAAGGAATCATTTCAAAATGTTTTGATGGGTACATGGATTTCTATATCGAAAAGGAGAAGGAGAATGTGATGACATTTTTGAACAAATTCACGAATGAAGAGAAGTTCACGGTCGATGAGGGGTCTGTTGTTCTTTTATCGTCTAAAGATTTGATACTGTATTATAGGAAATGTAGTGAGCGATGTAGTGCGCTGACGCATGGCGAACCTTTAATAAGTGTGTGTCAGGTCATTGCAAATGCAACGTGTGAATTTTCGAAAAGTATGCAACAGAAAGCTGTCTGTAAAGATTTGAAAGAAACGTTGAGGAGGCAAAGTCTTGTTGTCAACACACTGAAGTATGTTTATTTTAGAGTCGAAAGATTGATGACAACAACGTTGAGTCATTTAATCGACCAAGCACATGACATCTTGAGAGTGATGCAAACCAAAATAATTGGGGTTATTGGAGAAATCACAGAACAAATAGTGACTGTCATTTTAAGACCAGTAGACGACATCATGATGGAGATGACACGACAGAATTGGGTTATGCAAAATGACGAAGAAATTGAATACGTTGAGAACATGACACGAGTAATTCAAGACTATGTGACTGTGATTGATAAATACATTGTGAACGACTACTTCTTACAAGTATGTTCATTGATAACCGCGGTATTCTGTGAGAAGTACGTTGATATGTTAATGAAGTGTAAACGCATCAATGAAATAGGTGCGCGAAATCTGTTGATTGACTATTCGCAAGGAAGAGGGTTTTTCCTGAAATTGCCAACACGAAATAATCCGATCGTGTTAGAGGGTATTGGTGACACTTCCGTTAAAAACACGAATTACGATTTAAGTGAATACACATCAGAGACCGGGAAGGAATACACAAAAACGGAAGCCATATTGAAAATCCTTCAAATTGGCGAGAAAGACAAAGCGTATGAAACGTTTCAATACTTCTTCCCTGAGATGTCAAATGACAATTTCCAACGAATATGGGACTTGAAAGAGAAGCAAGGCATTCAGGGCAAAACAGAGGCAACGCTATCAAAGATTAAACTGACATTTTCGAAAAAGCCCGATTGGTACAGGTCGTTCTTCTCGACTATGCAGTGAAATTGCAAATTGAGTACTTTTTTATATTACTTATTGTTCCAAATGTAACGAAAACACATTTGAATTTTTGATCTATGAATGAAACACTCTTTGGAGGTTTCTTGATATAGTCAGTCTATTTTTATGTTCTTGAGGACATTATATTGTCGAGAGACTCACATTGTTATTTTCGGCTCCACAGGGTTGTTTTCTTATTGTTTATTGCTTATTTAATAATATGGTTGACACGTCTTGATCGGTCTTGTAGCTTTTTCCATGGTTCTTTCCTCTCTATTCACAAACTAGTGAAAGTCTGTCACCTCGATCAACTATGTTCTTCACTATTGTTAGTGAAATTTTTAATTTCTTTGGTGTCGCTTGCAAGTTTTTGTAATGGAAGAAAAACACAACTATTTTATAGTAAAATGCCTTTGTTGTTCCACTTGTTTTTGAGCTTTTTTGATAGTCAAAACAAACGTTTGAGGTGATGGAAATGGCTCATACATATTTATTTAACTCAAATACACGTTACAAATGATACGAATGTACTATAAATAAAGAACAAAATGGTCCACAAATAATAAAAATTAAAACATAGTTGGGAATCTTTCGTTATAGAACTTGAGCTCGTCTCTCACTTGCTTCTCTGTCACCGTCATAAGTCCATCTTCCAAAGTTGATGATCCGTGTGCTTTCTTTGGATCGCTCTTAAGTTCTTTTTCAAGATTTTCTTTAGTCTTCTCTCCGAATGGGAGTCCAAAGTGTTGGTGAATATCTTTAATAGCATCAAATGGGTTCTTTGTGAATTTCTTGAAGGAGACATCATAGAATTGACTAGCTCGCTCTGGTTTCTCGTTGACCCAACTGTCTCTTGCTGCAATAGCATTCTGAAGTGCCAATTTTGTCATATACAGTACTGAGTTGTTCAGCCACTCCTTGTCATTCATTCCAACATCTTTAGGGCATTGCAACTGTGCTTGTTTATAGAGGTGCAAACAGCTTTTAAAGTTTGTGAATGGGTCTCTATGGACCCACACAAATTGTCCATCGGGGAAAGTTTGTAATAAGTTCTTCATGAAACAGATATGTTGCACGTTCTTCAAGCACAAATACTGGTCTTCACTGATTTTATTCTCGAGAATATCGATCTTTAATACGTCTCGCAAGATGTCGTAGATGTATTGCCAATCTCTTTTAAAGATCTGTTTTCTATATTCCTCATAGCGCGGAATAGCACACGCTTGTGCAAACGAGCACCCCAACATTTCCATCACAAAGTAGTCCTCTTCCGGTTCATTCACTTTAAAGCCGTGGGTGGTTTCTAAGTCGTCACTGTTCTCATTCAAAAAGTCGACAATAGTCCCACAAAACTGCTTTCTGTGCTTTTCGTCCATTGTCTTGTCTCCTGGGAAGAATTGTTGGTACAACGCAACAGTGCGAGCGTTCTCTCCACAAGCCAAAAGATGGTGTAAAAAGGTCGTACCACTTCTTGGCAACCCAATAATAAAAAGTGGCTTCTTCAGCTCTATAGTCGATATCTCTGGAGTCATTTCGATCTCTTTCACCATACGGACAGAAGCCTTCGAGTGAGTATAACATATAAATATGGATTAATATAATAAATTTTATTATATTAATCCTTAACAAGTTATTACTATTAATTATTATACTTATAGTAAAAAACAAACCATTAATTTCATTGCAAATTGCATGATATAAGGAAGATAGACATCCTTGGGAAGCACTAACGGATTGATTCCCGCAAACATTGGAATGAAACCCATCATTATGGGACTTCCTCTTTCAAAGTACTTTTTCGTCTCTTCAAAATACTTGTTGTATTCCTCTCGTCGTGAAGAGTCAACGTAATATAATATAAACACAGCCGCCTTCTTCATCAAAGTCCAAAGTGTCTTAAACGCTACATCATTGAGTAGAGGGGCACCGTAAGGGCAAGAGTACGTTGGTTCGTATAATGCGATATTTTCAAATCCCTCGGCCATCTTGAGTACAAAGCAACTGAACCTTTTCAGTGGTCTGGCTTTTTATACTATAAAAGTGGTTTGTTATAGTTGATTTTACTATATGATTAGCCTCCTATATTTATATGAATCTCGTTTGGAATTTTTTATTTTTCACTAAAAGGGGTTTTGAACAATAGAAACGTCTTTCTTTTTATGTGAAGATTTTATTATGAAATAACGGGATTTATACGGAATAAAACTTTATTAAAATAAAGTCTTTTAAAATAAAAATAGAATTCAAAATTGTTTTTTATCTGGTGAGATTACTACATTTGTAACGTAAAAAATCAGGATTTCTGCCACGTAAAACCATTCGTTTGAATTCAAAAAGACTAAATCTGATAATGACCATTCCTACATTTACTCTGACTGTTTGGGAAAGAAAAAAGAAAAAAAAATATCGAATTTGGGAAAAAAGTCAGTATTTTTCATCGATGATTTTTATTAGTCTATTTTTATTGAGATCGAATTATTTATTATTTTTTGTTTTTTTTGAAGGAAACAATTTTTTTTAGAATTTGCATTTCGTAACTAATCATTTGTTAATTAAAATATAATATTATACATTAAATATAAATATGTATTGGTTTATTAATAAAATTATATAATAAAATACAACAACAATAATAATATCGAAAGTTCATTTATTGTCGTGTTCATTTTTTTTATAGGGTTTGTATTTGACTAAACCGTACACACTGGTCACACACGTGTTTAAGTGAGATCATATAATATTAAAAGTAATAAGATAACTATTAAATGATTACTTTAAGATTGGATGAAACGAAAAATAAAAACAGATTGCCAATTATCTAAATAACAGGAGAAAATGTTTTTATAATAATGCAAAAAACTATTAATTATAGGTTCAATTCTATTCATTTGTTTATACTAATATATTATACTAATATAGAAAGCCAATCTGGTATTATAATTAATGGTTTTATAGTTTAAAATGTCTCATTTTGACTCAAATTGATTCGACAGTTTAGTATCCAACAAAACACTAGAATGTTACAATCAAAATAAAAAGTTATCGGAGAGCTATTCATTTATTTCTGATCATTTTCCTTTAAAAACATAAAACTTCCGAATTCAATGCCTATATAATCAACATTTTTTCAACAAAAGAAGTAGTAAATTAAATGGTTAATAATAGTAAAACATTAGTTTTCTTTATTTGTCAATAGTCCGACGCTTTTCATAGAGTTGAATACAAAACACTTTGCCTTTCCCAACCATTCAACAACCAAATTTTTTGAATAAAGTGCAACCCACCCAATTAAAACACCACAAATATCTCCGGCAAGTAATTGATACATATAATGATCATTCAAATACCATCTTGAGTAATTGACTAATATCAAAACAAAACAATTTGCACAAAGAAATAAGTTCTTTGCTCTCTGTGTTAACCTTTTCTGTGAGTTGATATAATACTGCAAAAGTAGTAAAAAACAGCTCCAAAATTGCGTGTGTGATGATGGAAACCCTTTTCCATTATGTAGCGATAGTGGTGGTCTTTCACAATTAAAAACACGCTTGAGAACAAGACTAATTCCTTCATTAACGAAGAGTGTGAGTAATACACACATCGTGAAGGGGTCTTGACAAAAGAGGATGATGGCACATAACCCACCCAACACAAACAAATGCGAAATTGAGATATAACCCATCATTTCCCCAATACGATCACCCTCTTCAAACATCACCTCCGCAATCCACACAGGCTTCAAGTTCCTCTGCATTAAGAAAAGGTGTTTATAATTATAAGTTCATAATGGTTATAAAGTTAGAGCAATTCAACTCATAACAAGACATCAACGAAACCATATAAAATGATTTAATCTCTTTTCTTTTCCTTCGCTAAATCAGCCATCGACATTTTGGGGATGGTGTACCCGCACGCAACCATTGAAAGTACATACGAGAATGATGGGAACCCAACAAAGAATGTGAATGCGTATCCGTTGAGTCGAATGTTCGACAACAAAAACCCTGATATCTTGCTCAAGGAGAGGGAGAAGAAAAATGTGATAATAAGCAACGAAAATCCAATAGCGTTTGCTGCGGCGTAGTAATTCATTCCGTGTTTCTCTTTAGTAAAGAATGCTCTTGAAACTGGAATAGCAACATACGACCCAAGAATGTATGCCAAAAACATCACTGGAACAAATGAAAGTGAACTGTAGACGGTTGGCATGAACTTAGAGACTAAAATGTAAATAACAAGGGAGAAGAGTGGCGCAACCATTGAAAGTGTTGAGAAAAACTCGTCCTTAATGAATGGCATGATGTACTTCGAGTAATGTGTATATCCCATAACAACAACTGGGAAGAATAACATTGGTGCATATGAGTATTGCGACAAAATTACTGCAACTGTCCCACACACAATGAAGACAATATCAGAAATTAAATACTCTTTAATGTATGAGACTGGGAATGTGTTGACCAACATAGCTGACAATCCAAGACCCAATAATGCCAAAGCACCACCAGTACAGTAATCGACAATCTCGACGTTTTCAGTTTGAAGGGACTCTGGAATAGTCTTGAGTAACTTTGAAATCAATTCACCAGACAACAAGTCCAAGTACTCACCATACGGTTCAGACAATGGTCCGTCCTCTGAGTTGCATTTAAGGATGTATCTCATTGTGTTTTTCGGTACTTTCATATCAAGTTTCTGCATCGCCAACATCGCGTATTCGGTGCCAACGCAGTTTGATTCGTTTTGTCTCAAGAACAAGTCGAAACTTCCATCGGGCAAAATGACTTTGTTGTAAAAGTGCGTGATATTTTTGATCGCGACTTTCACTTCATTTGTATATTCTTCCACGTCTTGTGCTTCAACCAACAAACTGGTTCCAGCATACATCACTTCAAGATCAGAGTGTCCGTCCTTTCCGTCCATAATAACTGAGGTGTCATTTCTCAACATTCTCAACACAAACCGGACTGTGTTCTTATAGTTATTGGTCTTCTTATAACTTTCAAATTTGCCAATTTTCTTCAACAAGTTGTGAGCCAAGAAAGTGTTGTATACGGACTGTGGCTTGTTTTTACCACTGACAGTCTCCTTCTTTTTCTCTTCGCCTTCTTTCTTTTCAACACCAGATTCAACTTCTTCCTCTTCATCCTCCAAGTCGTCTTCTGGCTCAGAATCCTCTACGATCTTTTCCAAGTCAGGGATAAATCCATAGTTGTCGTAATGTGCCATGACATCACTCTCTTCAACATTCTTACCCATTTCAGACAAGAAGAACATGTTCTCGATTCCATTCTTCTTCATGACAGAGTCGAAGTCTTCTTCATTGGCTTGTGCTTTGTCCTTTAAGCCAAGGTTGACCTTGATCTGATGAAGTCGATATCTTTCTTCAAGAGACTTAGCTTCTTTCTCAAATAACTGAATTGAATGTTTGAGGTTGTTAGAAGCATTATTTGTGTGACTGAATAATGGAGCGACCAACACTAAAACTAAAGCAGTGATGATCAAACCAAAGCCAATTGTAATTTGGAATTTTGTTGGCATAATAAAAGAGAATTGGTTTCCTTTTTTAGATACTTTTTTTGTTTGGCGAGCAGCCTCGTTGGCTTTGACTTCTTTGTTCGACTTTTTCGTCTCTCTTTCCTTTGGAACGTCTTTGACTTTCGCTTCTTCCTTTGACATGAAGACTACAATTTTAGAGTTTTCAATCTCGTTTTTGTGAACTGAAGTTCCTCACATTTCTTTTACTATTATTAATAATTTTTTTTACTAGAATCAAAGTTTTCATTTTTTGGAGTTCGGTGAGTTATTTTGTGAAATAACAATTAAAATAATTAATTGTGATTTTACTCTTGCAAATGGTTATTATTGGCAATTTTATTAATTATTCTCATTATATTAATTAAGACTATTTTTTTATGGTAATTAATCAAA